TGCGGCCGGGTTCGGGTAAGAAATCAAAACCCGTTTGCGACCTCTGGCGTGGAGCCAGGGGGTATCTCTCCCCGGTGGCCAAAGCTACGAGTTGATGCTCTCCTTGACAACCGCCGTGAGATGTGTTTTGAGCAGCATTTGGGGCCCCATCTGACCGATTGCCGTACCCCCTGAGCTGACAATGCAGATCACTCTGCCACTCCTGGGCACCATTCCATTCTCGCGAAAGGTGGCGGTAATTTGTCCAGGAGCTAAATGCCAATGCCCGAGGCCTGCTCGCCACGACGAGAGAGCAACTTCAGTGGAGACTTCGTGTAGTTTTGCTATTCCTCCATTGAAGGGAGACTACGGTTGTGATTGATGTATTGTGCAGTCAGACAGAGGTGTAAGAGCAGATAATAATAATGTTGTTTTTCTCCCCCAAGTGTGAGACCCTTTTTAAAGAATCAAAACGTTTTGCTTTTTTAAACGACTGTATATTAGAACAACGTTTTTCTGGCTGGCTGGCTGCCTGCCTTTCTGGCAGATGTGCGTCACCACCACGCACATCTGCGTGATGACATCACCCGCATCCCATAGGGTTGAGCCCGGTTCGTATGTATGCATGTATGCTGAACTTCTTTTGCGCCGTACGTAGCCAACCGTGCTGATCGGAGGTGCGGTCCGTGCGTCGCAAATGTGCGGGCGGTGCTCGTAAAGAAAACCCACGAGTTTCTAAATCACAGTGCCTTGCTCGCGATTTTTGACGAGTGCTTTTGAAAAACTCATGCACCCTTCCCATAGTACTAAACAAGGCCCTGTTGCATACACGCATTTTTAGCCTAAGAGTCACCGTCTCTACGTTGAATTGCCCTCCAAATTGTATACAGTGACCCAGGTAAAGACAAAGTTGGGTCTGTAAGCAGCTGGATGGGATATAAATACTCGGGCCAGACATGTAGTAAAAAGGAGGTACATATGGAAAATAAACTCAAAACATTCGGCATTAACAGTGCCTTACAACAGGATAATATAGCAGGCAATTTTTTTGGAACAATGGCGCATTCCTCAGAATTGCTCTGAAGAACGGAAAATTAGCTCTCCAAACCACCAGCTCGAAAGAGCTGAATACGCGGACATTAGGCCATTTGCACCACGGATCCCAAACAGTTGAGAAGTGTGGCCGTCCCAACAACAGGCAGCAGTGAAGCAAAGACACCAACCGAGAGCAGATTCGTCCTCATCAGAACGCATCATCACAGGACAATCGTCAATGTTCACCGCTGCCTGATACGCCTCCGAGAGCCCCGTTTGTGGAGCTCATGTACACCACAATACCATGAGGGGCGAGTGGCTTTAGTCTGGTGAGCCATTCATCCAGTAGTAAATAAATCGTGGCTGACGGTGAGGATGATCGTTTATTTTCTGTTATTAGGCAGTGCGGACGACAAACACGTTGGCACATTTTGATTTGTGTGCTGTGCACCACTGCCAAAATAGTCCCTTAATATGTTATTGCAAAAGGAGTCAGCTGAGCAGGTCCCGTCAAGGATCGTGTATCTTGCTCTAGCAGGCGCAATTTCCCGAGCCATGCGTGCCCGGTGCACTGCAATTGAGTAGCTTGACACAATCCACCGACACTTGCAAACATGCCGCACATCTGACGGTCTTCCCTTCAGGCGCAACGTGAAAGCGTATACCATCATTTTACGTAGCAAATATAAAAAAATCAGGCAAAGTGACCTTTTCAGCCGAGATGGAAAATAGAACACTTGGATGTTGGAATAAACTGCGCTGAAGCCATTTCCACACCACTTGTGCGGCTCGCCTCAGTTTATTTCGGGTAAGACCCACAGAGCCAAGAAGGTCCATGATACGTCACCAGTAACACCTGCTGCCGAGTAATGCCTCCCCCATGGCCACCAGATGGGTCACGCAATTGACCGCAGATTAGAGCGTGGGTGTTTTCCGTCACCGTGTCAGACAACGCCCTGCGCAACCGCTTGATGAGACCACTTTCCAATGGTGTCGATGACCGTCGTTGCTGCTGTTGTCGTTGGACTATCCTTGTCTTGTGTGAGTAGCGAGTCGTGGTTTTATCGCAAAATAGTTTGACGATCAATTACAGATGGGATCAGCGGTACACGGCAGAGGTGTGGACTCGAGTCATGTGACTTGGACTCGAGTCAGACTCGAGTCATGAATTTGATGACTTCAGACTCGACTTGGACTTGCATAACAATGACTTTGTCCCACCTCTGAGGTGTGGACTCGAGTCATGTGACTTGGACTCGAGTCAGACTCGAGTCATGAATTTGATGACTTCAGACTCGACTTGGACTTGCATAACAATGACTTTGTCCCACCTCTGAGGTGTGGACTCGAGTCATGTGACTTGGACTCGAGTCAGACTCGAGTCATGAATTTGATGACTTCAGACTCGACTTGGAACTTGCATAACAATGACTTTGTCCCACCTCTGAGGTGTGGACTCGAGTCATGTGACTTGGACTCGAGTCAGACTCGAGTCATGAATTTGATGACTTCAGACTCGACTTGGACTTGCATAACAATGACTTTGTCCCACCTCTGGTACACGGGATGATGTAAGGGAGACGCCACGCGGTGTTTCTGCCCTCGTCTTGGAGTTTTCATCACTCAAACGTTCGTGTACGCGATTAAAATATTCCTTTAACGCGACACCGCCCATCCATTGGATCATTCACCGGTCAACAGAAACAGCTTTCATTGATTGGAATAACTTACCATCTCATGCCTTTCCTTCTATCATAATAATTTTTAAAAATGCTTGAATCTGCAACAATAACAGTATGGCCAAGCTTGGCAGTTCTTTACGTGGTGTCTCCTCTCTATCATCATCAGCAGCCATGGTCAATCCGTTGCTGGAAGAAGGCGTCCCAAAGCTGCCACCGAATATCACAATCCTGCTGTGCTGTAATCCACCTATCAACTGCACACATGCCCAGTGAATTGCTCCAACCCCGAGGTTACTGTCCTAGCCTCAATAAAATGTCCACGAATGTTATTCAAGTGTATTCTTATTTGGGAAACATATTATCCTTATGGCGGTACCCCAGGGTAGCAAATAATACAAAATTGCCGAGACAATTAAATATTTTATTTCTGGGACACTAGTTTTCCCCAGGGGTGTTACTTCACTTCCGCGACTGGGGTACCAATCAATCTGAAATCGGTGCCACTCCGCGATGTCGAAACGGAGCTAGGACGATTGCGCTGAAACTCTGAACGCTCGCACGCACCACGTGGTGCATCGTGTACAGCTCGTCGAGATGAGTCGATTGCCGCATCGCCGACCATCAACAAACTAAAAATGACTGCATCACGGAAATTATGCGAGAGCCGGGGTACTCTGGTAGCCCGGGGTACCACCATAAGGTTAATATGCCGCATTTTACTCACAATAATATTTTATTTGGTGATATTTCGGTAATGGTAATCATCTTTAAAATATTCTTCCCATAGTTGTAACTTACATTATTACCCGTGATGTGTTTCTCAATTTACGATTATTATTTTTTTACTCCAAATAATTTGCTGTACATTTGTGGGAGAGAGTAATCAACATGTCTCGAAAGCATCTCCTGATCCCATCGTCCTTTTTCTGTTACATTTTCATTAAGAGTCCTCGACAAAAAAAATAGTATTGGCAACATTCCACAAGGTCATCACAGGTCAAAAAACCAATATCACAATTGTTTCGTAAGCTAATTTTCAATACTGCTCTAGACACATTGTTTCTACAACTGCATGACTCATTTTCCCCAAGCTGCCATGCCACGGAAAACTTTACGCAGATGTTTTCATTGAGTTTTGACTAAAATGCAGTCACATACGTACTATTAATATCAGTGTGCGCAGTGTGCACTTTTAATCATTACCCACTTTTAAATACATCGTGGCGCTAGAAAGTTGATGCGCAATTTAAAGTGCCGACGCTGAAGGTGCTAATGCAAAAAAGTGTTTGAAAAATTATCTAATTATAAGAGTTCATTGTGAGAACCCACATTGACATATTACGCATATTTTCATTAAGTAAGATGTGATTCATTGCGATAGAGCCCATTTTTTGGATTATACAACATATTAATGAGATATGGTCAAGGTGGGGGAAGGAGGAATTGACAATATATGTCTCTCAAAAGGATGATTGAGCGTGGGCCACTCGTGAGTGACCGCGCGAGCGTGCGCGTGCGTAACAGAGATGATACAACGCAGGCGTGCAGCGCTTCGGCTCGACAAATCGTCGCGAACTCATAGTCGCGATAAAATTCCAAGATAAATTATCTCTCGTTGTCATTGCCTCGCTTTGTGTTCGTTTCTCTCTTTCACTTGTGTCATTCGCACGCATTTGTTTGCTCCATAACCCCTGTAGTCGGCCTCGGCTTACTGAGCGGTGGAGTGAGCACAGCTCACGATCGGGAGGTTGCGAGTAAAAAATCCTGGTTGGAAATCAACGCAGCCCATCATCTCCCCCCCACGGTTTAATAAATAAGTACCACTTTTTGTGGAAGTTAACGGTAGTCGTCCTATGGATTAAACTTACCCCCTGTCATAGGAATGTGGAATTTTCACCACTGCCTCATAGCTGTTAAAGAGTAAAGAAGCCGGACATCACTTTGATTAATCATCCAAGAGGTAAAGGCGCACAGTGCAGGAACCGTCAATAATATAATCTCAATCGCGCAATTCGACGCACGTGTTTGAATCAGAATAGATGTTTTTTTTTTCTGGCATATTCCGATGAGATATAAATCTCTTTTTCACAAATGTCCAGTAGGGGCAGGTCAGAACGTTACAACAACGAACAACACAAACACAAAACAGGAGTGCAAAGTATAGGAAAGGTAATCGAATAACTTAAAAAATATACAAAACAAAACGAAACAATTTTAGCGAGCGCGCGAAAATGTCTTTTCAATCCGCGAGTCAACGGACTCCGTTGCGCGCGCCTGGCACTCGAAGGTGTAAGCGGGACGCACATTGTTGTTGAGGTTGGCGAGGAGTGGGAAGTGCAGCAACGGATTGATATCCAGACCGGGCTGCAGAAGTCCAGTCGGGCCCCGCACCATCGCAGGAAGAATCCCTCCCGGGCAAGCATTGGCTGCACAAGACGGGGACAGATGGACGTGACAGACAGACACACACGCCACTTAGGCCGTAAGGTAAGACGTTTTACGTTTAATCCCGTTCCCATATATGGGGCACATAATTTATTTTTATTCTAATAAAAAGATCTATTGTTTTTGGGCGTGAAAATAAAAGTTCTCCATGTGTAATCCTGCAGTTTATTTTTTATCACTGTTTAAAGTTGGCAACAGTTCTTTCCTCGCGTAATCATATTTTGATCATCAGTGATGAGGCTTCGCGGAACAATCGTCTGACCAAGAACTTTTAACATAAAGTCGATAATGGTTTTGTCTATGAAAAAATTCATTTAAAAAGTAGTGCCCAGGTGTGGGAACGAAAATCATTTTCTAGCCACTTTTTCCTAGTTCACCTTATGGCCTAACTCTCAAAACTTCCTTTTCATTTTAAATGCGTCTTCATGGCCACTGCACTGCCGTGATTATCCAAGCCGGACATGTTCACCGCGCCCCTAAACCGCCCAATGCTCTGCGCATAAAACCAATCTAAGCTAATATTGCAACTCGGAGAGCCAGAAAGAACAGGTTTGATGTTGCGTATAATTGGCGGCTAGTAGCTCGGCTCAGAAGGAAGGGTTGGGAAGACGTGTTATTGTGATACAACGTGTAATGCGATTTGTTTTTATTGTCGGATTACGAGTGTAATACAGTTGAGTTCTGGTTGGCGGGGCGGGTGTCTAAATTATGCTTATGTCGTTAACCTGTAAAAATTATTCTGTAAAAAGAGGGCCGTGTGTTTTTGAAAGGGGGAAAATATGTCTCAAAATGTTCAAGACGAAGACTAAAAAATGTGTTCCATATTTCTCGATTTTTTGTTAAAACACGGACGCCTGATTTTAATTGACCATCCTATTTTAAGCCCCCTTTTTAACGGCATTGAAGGTATAGTGCTAAAATACGATCCCATAAACCCGTTTCTTGAAAAAAAAATGAACGACCTGAAACCCATTACTGCAACATTATCTTCCTGCATTTCCTTTGGCTTCCTCTTTTTTTGCAAGGCTGATCTTTTCTATTGGCAAACATGACATTTCCCCACTGTCTGCACGAGTAATTCCTGTAGGCATTTTGCTGCGGCGTTTAATTGCAAAAGTCAGGTTGCTTAACATGATGCTTCATATTTCACCTCGATTCGGCACTGTTTGATTTTTTTCACTTTTCGGGATGAAATTTAATTTCCTCCCACCAAGTTTTATTTGTTATTGTTATAGGTAACATTTTGGTATGGTTTAACTTTTTTTTCATGCTACAAAGGCAAAACAAACCAAAGAGGCCTAATTAAACGTTATATACTATTTCAGAACAGATTAGGCAAAAAAAAAAATTTGCAAATGCTTTAATGCTCGGCGGTTGTGTGCACAGAATACGGCAATGGGCTTCGGGAAGCCGAGCAGTGCCTGCTTGCTGAATCACTCTTCTAAAATATGGAATCAGAATCCATTAACCTTTTTTTGGTGGCAGTCGAAACTGAAATAATACATTGTAATGCTAACAACCACTCCAGAGCCCAAGGAAGACACGGGACAAATTAGGATGGAATCCCTTCGCATAAATAAATTTGGGATCGGGGTGGGGGGGGGGGACACTGCTTATGGCACTTCGTAATATGTAAATGACATCATTAACATTGTAATAAGCAATAATGATGTTGGTGATCATCAGTACATATTTGACGATATTCACGTGTACAAATGTACCGTTATGGGATTGATATATTACGACTGTACAGGCTTTTGAGGTTGTGCTGTGCGTCTCTCCGACGTGTGTTTGGTTTCGCGCCTCGCGTTCTTGTTTCTTGCAGGAGCTCCCAGTACGTGCAGCGAAACGTTGGACATCGCGCCGGACGACGCGCGGTCGAACCCGAAAACGAATGGGAGAGAGCTGCAGATTCACTTATTGTTACGCAGCTTCAAACACGACACCTGTGTCGCTCTTCAACGGATAGAACACACACTTGTGTACTCCAACATGCAAACAACCAAACAGTCCGTGCTATCGCTCTCCATTCAGCTATTACGCTCAGCATGATGACAATTTCAATGTCAGACAACATCCAAATCGCGCTTCGGATCCATGTGCCACGTAGGCTTACAATGAATGCACAACACGTGGATTAGAGCACGGGGAACGTGGGTAGAGAACAAGTTGGAGACAATTCTCATAATCAACGTTTTTGGGTTTAGATCGCGTTATTTATAAATGTGTCGTAATCCTCCACCACCCGACACGGCCAATCGGGAAAAAAGTGTCACGTTGACAAAAGACAAATAGTTCACTGCTTTAGCCCACCGGTGTGTTGAAGCGTGAAACCACAACATTTACAATTTGAGTACGACGTTTTGCTGGTAATTGCCCGATGATGCTGGATGCAATTACCAGCGAAACGTCGCACTACTCAAATTGTAAACGTTGTGGTTTCACGCTTCAACACACCGGTGGGCTAAAGCAGTGAACTATTTGTCTTTTGTCAACGTGACACTTTTTTACTGATTGGCCGTGTCGGTTGGTGGAGGGTTACGACACATTTATAAATAACGCGATCTAAACCCAAACACGTTGATTATGAATAATATTGGTCGCGAAAGCCTGCCACGTGTTAAACTGGAGACAATTCTGTCTGCTGAGAAGGGTGAGTTATGGCTTCGGCAGGACACGTCGTGGTGGTCGAGAATTACTAAGGTGGTGTGCAGCCATGTGGCAGAGAGGCCCAACGGAGGAGCTGCAGCGATGAATTAGACTCACGCATGCAGGTGCTCAGGCGAGATGTTAACTACCTCGCCTGGTGTACAGGAGGTCGTGGGTTAGATCCAGACCTTGACAATGCCTGCATATTTGGAGTTTGCGCGTCTCTCTCTCTCTCTCCCCGTGCTCGCGTGGTTTTTTCTCCGGGTCGTCCTCCGGTTTTTCCCCTCCACATTTAGAAACATACGCCTCGATAGAATATTTGTCCGCTAGAAATTTACACGTGATAATCCACTTTGTTGAGCTAACATTTGTGGCTAGGTCACTTCTGAAAAAGAGCAATATAGCTGAGTGGGCCTTACTTGGAAAACTAAAAATAGTTTTAAATAGTTTATTATATCACGGAGTCAAGACATATTACAACGGCTTGGCAAAGCCTTAGTTAAGCAAGTGAATTGATCACGGCTGCTGCTGATAATGACGAATATACAACTTGAAATGCGAGAGATTCACACAACTAGCAGCACCCCAAGAAGTGGCCTTTCATAAGAATGCAACGTGCAATTGCTCAAATTTTCAATCTTGTTACAGAGACCACTCTCATCAATGCACGTGGATGCCCCTGTCAATGATTTACATATTGATATGTTAGAATTACCAAGTTGTTACAACTACAGCTGGTATTCCAAACAAATAATACAAGCACGCAAACATATATGTTGCTTGTGAAAAATTGCAAACCATTCACGTGACCAAATTGTGAAATGAAGCTGTTTTTTCCCCCCAAATTCAATCCCGATAATATTGCACCGATGTGTTTTCCGTACACATATCAAAAGTAGCCATTGTTTACAAAAAGAGATTAATTGTTTTCGTTAAATTGTGTTCTTTGAAAAAGATGGCGGGGAAAAATTACATTCTGAATGCTCGTTATGAATGGTCATACAACTGCTGTATTTTCCATAACGAAATTCTATTATGATCCACAGGGTGGAAGATTGTATGCGGTACATAGAAACATTGTACTCTGAAAGGCAAATGATGCCAACCTACAGATAACCATGAATACACTTGAGAACATGAATTTACAGAATCCCTGAGATAACTTTAACATTTATGCATTTTTCACAAATAGTTTCAGTTCGCCCTTTCTTATATAAATGTATCGTTTTTATGTGATCTCTTCTCCACATATAAACTCACCTTTAAGCGATAACCACACACGAGAGGCTTATAGAATTCTATAAGATAAGCCAACAATGGCTCAGATTTTTTGAGTCAATATTGAATCCTATTTATGTAAAAAAAAAGAAACCTGACAAAGCTTTAAAACAGTGAGTACCACACTGATATGCTCTAGATATTATATATAATACAAAGCAACATTTGTATTTTTTCATACAATACAGTAAAACAAAAGTAACGTGTTATCAATACAATTAAAACACCTGAAAAGTTGAATATTACATTTGTGAACATTCAACCTCTGAAATAAATATGAATAATGTACAGTAAGTAATAATTAGTCTTTGTTAGCCGTGCAGTAAAGTTCTTAGATTACAAAATGCAATTTCATGAAACATGGGACCTTCATTACTTTAAAATACGGCTTTCAAAATATAATATTTTATGGGCTTTGAATATTTAATTTGACTGACCAAGATTTTTTTCTCTAGCACCATGCAAAGCAAATTAGCAATTGTATTACATCTGCAGTCCTTTTTCTTTTAAACCCATATGTATACAGAGTATATCTAATACGAATCTGTAAATTGAGATCTGCGATTTAAGTTTTGCAAGAACAATGCATTGCATTCCTGACTCTTAAAAGCATAAACCAATCCAATAATAGGCCCTGGCTGGAAAGCTGATTTAACAGGCTCACACACAGCAAAGCCATGAAAAGCAAACGTTTATTTAATTTATGTCCCTGTGATTTGTTTTCTGTTCGGCAACGCAACACAACACATCTTTAACTCACCTAGAAGCATTTTTCTTCAAGAAGCAGCAGCAGCAGCGAGACTCAAAACAAATTAAAAAAAACCCCTCTATCTTGCTACAAAATAACACGAGCACAGAGCGATGATAATCCGTCTTCCCGACAATGGAGCCGTCGCTGAACCGTTTGCTGAGAATTGCAACGCGGAATAAGCGCGTGTCTCTGCCACACACCACACACCACCACAGGTGGTCGGCATGGGTTACGGCGAGAGAGGAGGAGGAGGATTGTGGTGGTGCTGGTGGTTGTGTTCATGCACGTTGCTCACACGCACGC